ATTTTTTTTTAATAATACATAAATTAATATTTTTGGTTCTATATACACAATGATATGATTATGTTAAAAAAAAAGTACGATTTATATATAATTTAATAAATGAATAAATCATTATATATGAAATGACAATAATACCTTTGAAATCAATATATATCAGCTGATCATTAAAAAAAAAATCTGGTTAAAACATTGAATAGCCTGTAATATTATTGTTGTAATATTGTCTATTATAAAGATATTTATGTATGAAATACATAGGATAAATTTTTTTATATAAATAGGCATAAAGATTTATGATTTTTTTTTTCTTAATTTTTTTATGATTTATTTTTTTATTTATTTATTTATTAATTTTTTGATTAAATTGATTTTGATTGATTAAAATTGGCATATATCTAATGAATTTGTAGCTAAAATGCATACCAGACTTTTCATTTCACTATAATATATTATCGATAAATATGTATGCATATACAAAATAGATTTTCATAGTTTACTCTGAAGTTAATCTTTGTATTATTTTCATATATATTTTTTCGTCTAATATCCCTAGCCGATATCAATGCCATTATACTCTATACCTCAATAGCCACTTATAGTATATCATTTACCTAAACTGTATCAACCCCTTGTTAAATCAATGGACTCTCAAAAGCGTATCAATAACACCGTCTGCTGCTGCTGTGTCAACTCTTATCAGGCACACCTAACACCAAGGAGCAGCTGCACAAATTATTGTGGCACAAATCTAAAAAATGCCAAATGCCAAATGCCAAATTGTATGTATAGGCTTATAAAAATTTTATACTACAAGTTTGTAGTGGCCGGCTGGAAGCTCTTGTAACGTTGCTGCTGCTCTTGCTGTTGTTGTTGCTGTTGCTGTTGCAGGCAACACTCTGGCAACTCTCTGGCCGTGACAACGGCAAAGCCCCGACAAACACTTGCCGTGCGAGCGTGCACCCAATGCAAGCTGAAGTGGTTTTTGCGCTGTGGTCCCGCAATCGTCTGTGTTTGTGTTTGCTTCTTCTTTCGTTTTGTTTAACGCTTACTATTTTGCTTTTTGCTTTTTCATTATTTTTCCATGTCCATGTCTGCACATGCTGCGGTCAAGGGTTGTGCTGGTGTTGCCAAAGTGTTGCCATATATTCTAAACATGTTGGCCGGCAGCTTGTCCAGTTGGCTTGGGCCACTTTGCCGGCCATGCTGTCCGCTCTGACCAAGCTATCCAGGCTACACAGGCTACCCAGGCTATTCAGGCTAGCCAAGCTGGCTGGCAGCACAGTCCACATGAAAGTGGCCCAAACGACAGTTAAACGCAAGAGCGGCTAAAACGGGGCTCTAAAAACCACTTGGCAGCTAAACGCGTGATTTATGCCACAGCTATGATAAGAGCAGCCAGCCGCAAATAAAACAGAGCTTAAAGGTAACAAACTACAAGGATGTGCTAAAAAAATTAAATATCGAAAAATACCAAATCTATCTTTATTTTTTCTCAAACATTTTTGCTCACAAACAAATTTATTTTGACTAGCTGAAAACAATATTTACTTAACAATATTTATTACATGCCAAACAAAAATTGAGATATTCTCCATAGCGATTTATTTGGTTAAGCAAAGAAACACTCTGGAGCAGCATTCTATTATATATATATATA